TGATATAATAATAACAACTATAAAAAACAAGAAAATACAAAAACAAAACAATCAGCAACCACCCATGTATCATTCTTAAGCAAATATTGTCTCATTCAAAAGTTTTCAGAACCAATAGGGACGTCAATGATGAATAAAAAATAATTTTTAGAGAGTAAAGAGAATGACGGCTGTAAATATGAGAAATAAAAATATGTTATTGTTATGACATTTACAACTAGTCTATTTATACATTAAAAAAAAAAAAAGGAATGTCAGATAGGCCATAATATAATAGACTTAATGACTAAGTTATCAAAACATTTAGAAATACTAAAATACCCTTTAATATCATCCTTTAATTTAGAATTTCTAATCAAAACTAACTACACCAATTTCATTCTTTAAGCGAAGAAATTGATCCGTCTTGATTGCCTTTGTCATGATATTTGTCAGCTGCTTCTGGGTGCTATAGCGCACAACTTCTAATACTCTATTCTGAACTTGACTTCTGAGAAAATGATATTTTGTCTCAACATGCTTGCTTCTCCTATGTAGTACTGAGTTCTTGGCAAGATTGATTGCAGACTTGATATCAATCATCAACTTCAGAGGCTTATCAACGTTGATCTTCAGATCATGTAGTAAATTCAAAAGCCACACAACTTGACATGCAGTTATGACACATGCAATGTACTCAGCTTCACATGTCGATAAAGAAACAACATATTGCTTTTTCAAACACCAAGAAATAGGACCTCCCAGAAACTTAAACAAGTATCCAGAATTACTTCTTCTATCAACTATATCTCCACACCAATCAGAATCAGAGTAACTCATCAACTCTGAGTCTGTCTTTCTTCTAGAAGGGAATAGTACTTCAAACTTCAAAGTTCCCTTGATATACCTCAGAATCTTGACAATAGCTTGGTAATGGGACCACTTAGGTTTACTCATGAACCTACTAACCAATCCAACCACATAACAAATGCCAGGTCTAGTATTACACAGATACCTCAGATAACCTACCAACAGTTTGAACGTTGTAACATCTACGTCTTCACCCTCAAAGTCAGAATCCAATTTATGATTTATTTCTGACGGTCTAACAGCGACCTTACAATTCTCCAGCTGGAATTTCTTTAGAAGTTCAAGCTCATACTTCACCTGATGCAAAATTATACCTTGTTTAGAGTACAATACCTCAATCCCTAGAAAATAAACCAACTTTCCTAGGTCAGTCATCTCAAATTCATTCATCAGAGTCTTCTTGAACTTGACAACTTCTTTAGAACAACTTCCTGTCAGTAATATGTCATCAACATAAAGACATACTAGAATCATATTGCTTTCAGAATGCTGAACATACACGACATACTTCATCTCACACTTCTAAAAACCTTATTTCTTGAAAAATGAATCAATCTTCAAATTCCAAGCTCTGGGCGCTTGCTTCAATTCATACAGAGCTTTATGTAATTTGTACACCATCCCTTCCTAATTCTTTTTCACAAATCTATGAGGTTGTGACACGTATACCTCTTCTTGTAATGGACCGTTCAGAAATACAGACTCCACATCCAGATGCATCATAGGCCAATTTGCAGCTAAAGCAATCACCAGTCTGATTGTTTCATGTCTAGCTACAGACGCAAACATCTCAAAGTAATCTAGCCCATATTTTTTAAGAAAACCTCTAGCCAGTACCCTTGCTTTGTGCTTGCCAATTGATTCATCTGGCCTAAGCTTCACCTTGAAAACCCATTTGACGTTGATGACTTTCTTCTTATCTGGAAGCTTAGTCAACTTCTAGGTCTTGTTTCTTTCTATAACCTCAAGTTCTTCTTTCATGGAATTCAGCCATACTTTCTTATTGAGAGCTTCTTCAACACTCACAGGTTCATAATCTACTAACATGACACAGTGAACAATTTCTCCTTCTGAATCTACTTCAGTGTCTTGCAACATGTCAAGCTCTTCAAACCTTCTTGGTATTCTCCTGATTCTTTGTGCCCTATGAACTTGTTCAGAAACTCTTTCCAATTTTGGAACAGTATCAGATACTTGACCATCATCAGAAGTTCCACCTTTTGAATTGCCTTCAGAACCTCTACCTTCTGAAGTTCCACCTTCAAAATCACGACATTCACCAGAAACATGATCATCTTTAGAAGCTTGTCCTCCAAAACCTACATCTTCAGAGTTTTCCCTTCCAGAAGCATGACCACCACAAGATTTTGGATCATCATCAAAATTTGGATCAGAATCAGATTCACCATCTGACTCATCTTCAGAGTTTCCAGAATCATCATCTGACTCTGACTATTCTTCAGAACTATCAAGTTCTAGCTTATCTTCAGAAATAGATTGAGACTTGCTCCAATCTCATACTTCTGATTCTTTTAGAATGACGTATCTGCTGACTTTAACTTTATTCGTTTCTAGACAATAAAGCTTGTATGCACATGTACTGTGGTACCCCACTAGAATCATTACTTTGCTTTTGTCATCCATCTTCTTCCTTCTAGCTTCTGGAACGTGTTTTTAACATACAGAACCAAACACCTTCAGATGGCTAACACTTTGCTTGTCTCCACTATATTTTTCTAAAGGAACAATTTCCTTCAGCTTCTTCGTTGGACACCTATTGAGCACATACGCAGAAGTAGCTACAACTTCTCCCCATAAGTTATGAGGTCTCTTTTAGCATGCTTCAGGTAATATCAAGTAAAGTATGATTTCTTCTTTCAGTAAGATCATTGTGTTGAGGAGTATAAGGAGCAGTAACATCATACTCAATTCCACTTTCATCATAGAACTTCTGAAATTCTATAGAGTTATACTTACCTCCACCATCCGCTCTGAGAATCTTCATCTTCTGACCATTTTGTTTCTCAGCCTTCACCTTGAACTTCTGAAATTCAGTAAACACCTCATGCTTAAACTTGATGAGTGTTACCCACATCATTCTTGTGAACTCATCCACAAACGACAAAGAAATATTTATTTCCTCCAAGTGAAGGTTCTGGAAATGGTCCACACACGTCAGAATGCACTACTCCTAAAGCATGTTTTGCTCTTGGAGCTACATCTTACACAAATGGCAATCTGGGTTGCTTGCCTTTCATGCATACCTCACATGATTTCTCCGGCTTCACAATCTTCGAAATGCCACATATGAGCTTCTTAGAACTCAAATGCCCTAAGCTTCTGTAGTTTAGATGTCTAACCTCTTGTGTCACATCTTACTATCAGCTTCAGCGTCTTCTGAACTAAGACATTCTGCTTCTGTTGTCTCCACATTCACCTTGAATGTCATGTTGCTTCTTTATTCTGATTGCATAATCAACTTCTGATTAATATCATACAACTTTAAGAGATTGTCCTTCATAATAAATGAGAAACCTTTCTCAATGAGCTGACCCATACTCATCAGATTGCTCTTAATTCCAGGAACATACCAAACTTCCTTGATCAAAACATTCTTCTCATTCTTCACTTTAACTTTGACATATCCCATACCTTCTGCATTAAGGTACTTATCACCAACACATCTGATTTTTGTCCTCCTTCTAGAGTTAAAATCTATCAGCCATTGTTTGTTTCAAGTCAAGTGATTTGAACAGCCAATGTCCATATACCACCAGTCTTCCAAACACTTTCCATCAGACTCAGAAGCCATCAATAGAACAAGTTCATCATCAGAATCTCCTCTGACTATATTTGCTTCTTCTGATTTCTTTCCCTTGTTTGACCAACAATCTTTAGCAAAATGGCCAAACTGCTTACAACAATAACATTTAACCTTCTTCTTGTAAAACTTCTCCTTAACCTTTTGAGGTTTCTTCTCATCAGAAGTAGAAGTTTCTGACTTCTGGAATCTATCACCACGTCTATTCTTGGTTTCTGACCAAGAATATTTATGGTCCTTCCCGACAAAAGAAGCCTTCAGAACCTGCTCAACTTCCCTCTCAGAAGTTTTTTCAGTCAAACGTAATTCATGCGCCTCTAAACTTCTTTGCAGCTCTTCTATTCTCATAGTTTCCAGATTTTTAGAATGTTCAATTGCTACAACAATGTAATCAAATTGGGGAATAAGTGACCTCAATATCTTTTCAATGGTTACTTGTTCAGAAATGGCTTATCCACAAACCTTCATCTTATTAGTGATCAGAATCACTCTAGAGATGTACTCAGAAACCTTCTCATTATTCTTCATGTTGAGATTTTCATATTGCTTTCATAGGGACTGAAGCTTCACCTTCTTCACTGATGCATCACCACTGTAACATCTTACTAGTATTATCCCATACGCCCTTTGATGTCGTCGAATATGCAATTTTCTCAAACACATTCTCATCCATACACCGATGGATGAAGAACAACACCTTCTTATCTTTCTTCCTATTATCTCTCAGTGCGTTTCTCTGCTCTTTCGTTACATTTTCTGTAATTGGAACATAACCTTCGGTAACAAGCTCAAGAACATCTTGAGCACCAAACAACACACGCATCTGAATCATCCATCTTTTCCAGTTCTTGCCATCAAAAATAGGAAGTTTGGTACTCAGACTACCGTTTTCGTTCATCCTTAACCTTGTACAACTCACTCAGATCTCACAAGCTAAGTGTTTCCCAACCCCACAAAATTAGAAAAATGTGATTATGTTTAGATTTTGTTCAAGATTCAACACGAACCTAGAACCAAAATCAATCACACAAATGCCTCACGTTTCACTCGTGTTTCCCTGTGGAACAAAACCGAAGCTTTGATACCAATTATTAGTGCACAAGAATCAATAATGAACAAATGATATTTTTTAGAGAGCAAAGAGAATGAAGGATGTAAAAACTGCAAGAAGAATAAAAATATATTGTTGTTGTGACATTTACAACTAGTCTATTTATATACAAAAAAAAAGTCACATAGGCCCTAATAGAATAGATTTAATGACTAAGATATCAAAACATTTAGAAATACTAAAATACTCTTTAATAAATAGCTCCCTTCATGTTTTCCACTATTTCTTTCTAATTTTCCAAACAACAACAAGAGCTAATCTCCCATGAACCCCATACAAAATCACATGAAACTCATGAATCAAAACTAGAAAATAAGAAGGAAAGGTTACCGTAGAAGATTTCGCGACGGAAGACGACACGCAAAATTGGCGGAAAAAGGGACTTCGACGGTGGTTGTGCGCTTGTGTCGGCTTCGCGTCGTCAGCGTACATCGGATCCACAGTGTGGTGCGACACTACACATATTTCGTGTGGGCTGATCGTCAATAAAACTTGTGGAGTTTGAAACAGGGGTGACGGTAGCTATGCATGGTGGTCGCGAGTTGAAGTTTCATCGGTGTTGCAGATCCGGTGATCCACGGATCGAGAAGCCGGTGGTGTGGATTCAGCTCTCTTCTTTGATAAAAAAAAGTGTGTAAAATAGGTTTTGGAATCGTGACAGTGTTTTTGTAAAAAAAAATTGGCCTCTTTACTGAAAAGAATTGTTAGTATTTATAATTGAGAATTATGTTAAAAAAAAAAAACAGAAAAATCTAAATTATTATTAAGACCATTAAATTAAATTAACATCAATTGTTTGATTTAAATCAAAAGTTAAATATTAATTGACTTGAGCCAAAAGCTAAGCCAAAACTACCATTTATATATTCTTTTTGATTTTTGTATGCATAAAATTATGATTTTAATGAAAATAATAATATTTAAAAAAATGACTAAATAAAAATACGAAAATTAATATTAAATGATTAAAAAAATTTTTTTTTGACTTTTTTTGTGATTTTTTCAATAAAGAAATAAAAAATAAACTAAAGTTAGTAAAATGGAAAGAAAATGTTAAAATGTCAAAAGTGAGGAAGCCTTATCTCCTTACTAATTATACTATCTCATTTTTTCGAAATAAGAACACATTAAAGTCTATGAAAGTCCAGCAAATATTTGTTATTTAAAAAATACATATAATTTAAAGTAAACTATTATATATTTTTTAAATAAGCAAAATAAATTACTGTTAAAATGTTAGTAAAATTGAATCAAAATTTTTATAAAACCAAAGTTAAAAATAATTCGAATGTTAGAAATAAGGCGGACAAATTTGGGGTATGACATACACCTCACTGATGGGAGGAAATTTTATTGACTATTTTCTATGTCTTGAATCGAGTTCTCAAAAATAAAAAAGTAAGATCTCTCCTTATGAGATATTAAAGAAAAGACAATCAAACTTGTCTTATTTTAGAACTTGGGTTTGCCTGGCTTATGTCATATTCCGGATCTGAAGCGAGTTAAACTCGATAGTAGAGCCTATGCATGTGTATTCATTGGGTATGCAGCAAACATTAAGGCATATAGGTTTTATGACCTAAATGTTAAAGTGATCATATAATTAAATGATGTTGAATTCTATGAAGACAATTTTCCTTTCACATCGAGAAATAATGGGGGCACTGAATCGAACACATTCTTGTGATAAGAAGCACTAAAAGCAACTGCGAAGTAGAAATAGAACTTCAACGAAGTAAAAGAGTAAGAGTTAATAAAGACTATGGACCCGATTATATGACTTAGGATGTAGAAGAATATCCAATAAATCTTCAAAGAACCTTGTCATTTATGGATGTAGATTTACGACAAGAAGCTATTAATGATGAGATAGATTCTCTAAAAGCTAACAAGACCTGACACTTAATAGACTTGTCTCCAGGTTGCAAACCGATAGGTTGTAAATGAGTTTTGAAAAAGAAACTAAAACCTGATGAAACTGTTGATAAGTACAAGGCTCTCCTTATAGCCAAAGGTTTTAGGCAAAGAAAAAATATAGATTTTTTCGATACTTTTTGCCAGTCACTTGAATTACATCCATTAGGGCATTGATTTCAATAGCAACTATTTATAACTTAATAGTACATTAAATAGATGTTAAAACAACTTTTTTAAATGGTGGCTTAGAAGAAGAAATCTATATGGATTAACCGGAAGGGTTTGTAATTTATGGACAAGAAAACAAGGTCTCTAAGTTAGATAAGTCTTTGTATGGGCTAAAAGGAGCTCCAAAGAAATGGAACAAAAAGTAGGATAACTTAATGATATCGAATGGATACAAAGTGAATGAAAGTGACAAATGCGTTCAATATAAATCTGAGAATCGCATTTGCACTATCATATGTCTCTATGTAGACGATCTACTCATATTTGGATCAAAGATTCAAACCATTAGTGATGTGAAATCATTGTTGTACAATAACTTTAATATGAAATACCTCAGAGAATCAAGCGTGATCCTTGGAATCAAGATCATGAGATCTGAACGATGAATTTCTTTGGATCAATCACACTATATGGAGAATATCTTAAAGAAATATAAATAATTTGACTATAAACCTGTGTGCACACCATATGATCCAAGTGTGAAACTGTTTAAGAACACTGGTGAAAGTGTCAGACAAACTGAATATGTGAGCATCATTGGTAGTCTTACGTATGCCATTGATTGTACTAGACCTGACATTGCATATGTCGTGGGTTTGTTGTGCAGGTTTACTAGTAGGCCGAGTAATGAGCATTCACAAGCTATTAAACGAGTCATGTGGTACCTTAAAAAGACTGTGAATCTCAATTTGCATTATCAGATTTCCTGCTGTACTTGAAAGATATACTGATGCAGATTGTAATACCTTATCAGATGATTCTAAAGCAACTGGCGGCTATGTATTCAACATAGCTGGAGGAGCTGTATCTTGGAAGTAAAAGAAACAAACTATTCTGGCTCAGTCCACAATGGAGTCTAAGATGATAGCATTAGCGACTTCTAGTGAATAAGTAAGTTGGTTAAGATGCTTGCTAGCTGGGATCCCTTTATGGGAAAAACATATGTGAGCTGTGTTGATCCATCAAGATAGTACTGAGGCTATTGCGAAAATTAAGAACTATTATTATAATGGTAAAAGACATCAAATTAGAAGAAAACATAACATTGTTAGAGATTGTATCTCTAAAGTAGCTGTAAGAGTGGATCATGTACACACTGATAAAAATTTAGCAGATCCTTTGACGAAAGGATTAGCTAGAGAGAAAGTCTAGAATACATAAAAAAGTATGTGACTAATTCCTATAGAGAATTGAGTTGCTCATGATGGTAACCCAACCTAAATGACTGGAGATCCAAAGAAATAAGTTCAATGGGTAATAACAAGTTGTGAGTAACATGAGGTGATCTTGCTAATGTGAATAAGAGAAGCATGAATCCTGAAGTGATAAGAGGGTGAGACAATAGAAACTCTTAATGAGATATATACTCTATATGAGGGACTAGCTAGGCTACAGGAGTATGAAGAAGTGAAAAACACAAGAAGGGGGGGGGGGGGGGTTGAATTGAAACTTAAAATCAAAAACAGCAGACACAATATTTTTATCCTGGTTCGTTTAATCTCAAACTACTCCAGTCCACCCGCCAAGGTGATTTCTCCTCTCTCCAACGAGGACTTAATTCACTAATCAAAACTTGATTACAATACTACTTTGACAACTGTCAAAGTCTTCTTGAGTACAACCACAACCCGGTTTATCTCAAGGAAAACTAGCTTAATCAAAAGAAACTGGTTTACTGTGTACTGTTGTTTTTTGTTACAAAAACCGTATCACAACTGTGATATATTACACAATTTAAGCGTAAGTGAATATGAAAGATTGCAGCGTTTAAGATGTATGAGTAATGGTAGTCAAAAATCGTAAACGATTTGTCCTTTAAGCTTGTTTATATAGGCGTGTAAATTTTGTCCCACATAAAGCGTGATAATGGACACTCAATGCTATTTCCATATTGAGAAGATTCTTGTCTAAATGAAGCCGTTACATATGATACTGTCTTAATTGAAAAGTAACGCTTCAGAACTAGAATCTTGTACGCTGCTTTTACTTCAGAACATTGATGACTCAAAGATATGAGGATATGATGGTATATTAGACTTTTGTTCAGAATTAGAGTATCCTTTACTTTAGCGCAGATTCTGATCATCATTCTTCAGAACATTCTGATTGTCTCAGCTTGAAAGCTTATGTAGCTTAACTTCTGATGTTGTTTCAGTCAGAACTTCTGCATACAAAATAACACAAATTTAGAGTGCATATTTTTTCTTTGTGTTTGTTATCATCAAAACTCTAATTAAGGGTTGTAGAATCAAACTATGTTCTAACAATCTCCCCATTTTTGATGATGACAAAAACTAGGATTTTCAATGAAAAATATAGAACAAAAAGATTAATAGAGTCTCCCCCTGAGTTGATTACTCAGATAGAGATGAGTTACTTCCCTGAAGTTCCTTCTCGTCAGATGTTTTGACGCATCTCCTTCTGTCCTTGTCAGAGTATGTTCCTGTTCAAGCTTTTCAGAAAACATAGAGGTTAAGATATTCAGAATGTTTAAGACTTGTCCCGGTATACTGTTATTTGAAAATATCTTACTTTCTCCCCCTTTTTGTCAGGTGTCAAAAATTAATATAATCAGAGCCAAAAGGATGATTTATATTGAAAACAGAATGCAATGACATTTTTCAGAAACAAGGAGGATAAGATGAAAAAATACAGATAAACAGTTAAAGAAAAACTAAGAAGGAGGGGGAATTCGTGTGAACAACGCTTCCAACAAGATCTTAATCTGAGTGCTTGATTCTTCCTGCTTTCCCAGAATGTCTTTGATTTCTTTTGTTGTATCTTCTTGTTTATCCAATATATCCCTGATCTCTTTGTTTGTGTCTTCTTGCTTATCCAGTCTGGCATGGATTAAGGCATTCTCCTTTTTCAACTCTTCCAGAGTTTGCATGACTAGAGATAAAGCTGGTGTATCTTCAGGGGTTGCATGTCGTTCAGATCACTCTGCAACCTCTTCTGATTGAACAACTTCTTCTGTTGCAATCACCTTTTCTGGAGCAGTAGTCAATGGATGACTATCAGAATTTGGTTCAGTGGCTTCTGAAGGTTGGTGCTCTTTCCAAGGAGTATTTTCCAACAAAAGAATTTCTTTCTTGTCCCAGTGGCTCAGAACTTGATCTTTGAAGGCTTTCAACTGATCACTGAAGTTCTGCTGAGCCCTTTCATAGCTCAATTCTTTCAGCTTCTGGGTTTCAGAGTTGAACCATTTTCTGAATCTTTCCCACAGAGAATCAAAAGCAGCAGGATTAGAATTCTCTTGACTTGCTTGCTTCAAAGAAGTAACCCAT